CAACAACTCAAATGTCCCTTGGCTTTTTGTGGTTGTTTATTCAGCCCTAGTAGGGAACATAAAGGGGACAAGAATGGGGAATATCTTGGTTGATGTTGTGTTGGGATAATGAGGGATATTTGGCCTGGGATTTATAGAAAAGGATAGAAGGTTTTATTTGTTTATTAAAAGGTTTAAAAGAAAGAAAATAACAACAAACAAAGGTTGTGGTTTACACACTCTTATTTTCGGCCAGAGCCTAAAATAGGAGTAGGAAAACTTTATTTTGAAAAGGAAATATTTTGGATGTTTAGGGAAGGTATGGAGAGTGTGGGCTCAGCCTAGGGTGGGTGTAGGACAACCATGGTGTTGGGTTGGGTTCTAAGACAGGAAAATGGAGAAGTTTCAACCCAATTAATGTCACCACACTTGGGCTTTATTCCCCTGATCTGTCTTTCCCTTGGCGGGCTACGGAGAGTCTTCGGGCATGCTCCCGGATATATATCATTTGCCCATACACCGTTGGATCTCTATTGCCCGTTTTCATCATGACCTAAATATGGCAGAAGTTTGGAGTTTCATATTCCCCAAAAGTAGTTAGCCATATCATTGTGATGGAACAGAAGCCCCTTTGGAATTCTCTATTTTGCAACTGAGTAGCTTTAATCTCAGGTTAGATTCTTCCCCTCTTTTGGTTCTTAAGGCCGAGTTAGTAGTAATTTTATCAGTTTCGCATATAGTACTTCTCAATTCCCAAATTTTATTATGCTCTACGATGTTTGAATTTTCAAAAACTTTCTATTTGCCTTGATTTAAAGAAACTAGTTTTTTTTCATGCACCCACAGATGCAACGTTAACTTAAAGTGAGAAAAGTCTTGTTAAAACTGTTGGGACATATAAAGTACAATTGCAAATGATGTACTTGTTACTTGTTTAGATGATTAACTCATGTTTTACAAATTTTGTACTCCGTATGCGGTATGATAAGAAGTGAACAAACTTGATTTTGTATTGGTTTGATATGCCATGAATTCGAAGTCATTGTGAGTAACAAAGATCATGGAATATATACTTTTTTCTAAACACTATCATGACACATATGTCTGATAACCATAAAACTTTGCTACACCGCTTTCCTTAAATCACATTTTAAAACTCCAAAACAGTGAAAGCCTTATTATTTATTTCCAATGCTAAATATATCCAAAGAATGACTATGGAGGAAATGGCATTACTTGTGGAGCAAATGGCTCAATATGCAATAAGAACGACAGAGCTAGACCTAAAATGATACAAAATGACATTTACAACTATAGATAAGGTTTGCCATAGATATGTCAAGTATCTGTTTACTGATATTTAGGCCATCTATGCTCATTCGAATATGGTTAATTGATATGTTATTTTAAACACAAAGTAGTTCCCTTCCGTTTTACCCCCCTCCCCAAATGGCTATTTAT